TGCTTTGGAACGAGAGCAGTTCCTGTCACCATGTTTCCGTTTGACGATGACATACTCAAGCATCTCGGGCGTAGATCGCCGCTTGGCGCTGCCTGACAGGAGTCGATCCTAAAGCGATTGCCCACATCAATGAAACTGACTGTTGCCACGGCACCGAACGAGCCTTGAAAACCAAGGGCAGCACAACAACAAGTACACCCCGGCAAGGATGTAAACAAGAGCCACTTGCTGAAATGATTACTGAAATGGAGCATATATTTGGTCGGATCTCCATTTGCTGGGATAAGGGCTCTTGCATCTGCAAAAAGCTTGCGTATTGAGTTTACTCAGGTGGCCCTCAACTGGAGACTTAGGATGCACAGCGAATGAAGAACGGCAGAGTGTTTGACAGAGAATATATAGTGGAATGCTACTTGCAAAACGGCAGGGCCCGAAGAGGCAAACATGCGCAGGACAACTAAGCCTCAAATGTTGTTTTATCCTGGGCAACTTCATGACAAGAAGACTGGACAACGCGGGTGTCTTTGTTTTTCCCCAACAGCAAAGCTTAGGGGTCTTCACCCATAGTAAAGACTTTGGAGCAGATCAGGTTCTGGAGCAGGTTCCGAGTGGAGCAAGTTCCGGAGCAGGTTGCCGGAGCAAGTTCCGGAGCAGGTTCCTGAGCAGGTTCCGGAGCAAGTTCAGGTTTTGGAGCAGGCTCTGGAGAACGTTTTCGAGCAGGTTCCGAGCAGGTTTTGGAGAGTCCTTGCAAGTTCCGAAAGGTCGTGACATCTCACAAGCTCCAGAACGGCTTGCAGATATGATGAGATGCTGCTGTGCTAATGTTGTCACGGCCTAGCGCTGACACATCACGCTGCTGACCTGTTGTCGCGCTGACATGTTGACATGCCGTCAGGGTCGTGTGCGGTTTGCGCTAACTGGCTAATGTGTTGGTCTTCTGACGCGCTAAGGTGTTGCCACGCCGATATGCTGACATGGTGTCATGTTGGTGTGGTGTGTGTACGTGTCCACACCTGTACCTAAGGTTTTGAGTCACAAAGGACGCTGCTAGGGGCCCCTGGTTTCGCTACCGCTACTAGCATGCAGTTTTTTCAGCGCGAAAAAAGAGGCAGGGGGTAGCGGCAGATCATTTGGGACCGCTACCAACGAAGACGCCCATTTGATCTGGTGATATCAGAGTTGGCCACTCTGACGTACCTGCTACATATGTTTGAACGGTTTTCAAGCTGTCCAATGCGGTGTTGTGCATTAAAGGTCTAATGAGCTGAAGAAAACTTGTTACAACACCTTCAAATGAACGGACTTTTCACCTTGCGGTTTGTGCTTCTTTCTGTTCATCAAGTCAAGGGGGACTTCGTACTGATACTAGCTCTTGCGAGCAACAATCTAAGTGTGTTTTCGCCACAGGGTCCTACTGAGGGCTGTGGTGTGATCCCCGTCAAGGGGCGCCGCATGTGCACAGACCTAGATCCTGGGGGACCCACTCTGAATGCTTCGTTCTGCAGCCCTGAACTTCTCTTGATTCCCCTTGATCCGCGGTGTTGCACGATACCCCTGATTCTATGCCGCAGGGCTTACTGAGATCAACTCCAGTTTGAACTCTCACTCATGTACATGTCACATTCACTCAGCTATGTCAGGGCACATGGTTACACAGTTACACGTGCTTGTCATGCTCTTGAATTCTTTTTCTCTTTCTGTTGCTTTTCGTTTTTTGAGGCCTTTCTTTCTTTAGGTTTCAGGGGCCTTTCAGACACGGGTTGCGCCGGCCCAAAACGGCTTTACTTGAATGCCAATGATGGCAATGCCTTCGGGCCGCCCTAACCCACCCTCCCCCGTACCTCCCTGTCCTTGGGTCTCCGTTGCTATCCCACCCGCTATTCGGGCAACAGAAGGAAATCGCACTCAACACACTTGTGTGTTGGTGCCTTTCCTTCTGTTTCTCCTATCCTATTGCTAGCTACCCGGGCGGTTTAAGACAAAAGTCCCGCTCGCGAACTATTTTCATTTAACTAAGTGGCCCTCTTAGTCTGCTTTTGTTTTGTTTGCTTTGTCTGTCTTTCTAAGGCTTGTTAGGTGGCTAGTAATTTTCAGAAGCGCCAATATTGGCGCTATGTGTGCAAAGCTATGCGTCGCAAATGACGCTACTAGGGGCTTCTGGCCTCGCTACCAGGAGCCAGGACGGTACTACTAGGGGCCTCTGACCGTTCTAGGGGGTGTAAGGACGCTACTAGGGGCTCCTGGCCACGCTACTAGTCTGCAAGCGGCGGACAGCGCGCCGAGTACGGCTTCGTGTGTGTGTCCACACCTGTACCTAAGGTTTTGAGTCACAAAGGACGCTACTAGGGGCCCCTGGTTTCGCTACTAAGGGCTCCTGGTATCGCTACTAGCACGCAGTTTTTTCAGCGCGAAAAAAGAGGCAGGGGGTAGCGGCAGATCATTTGGGACCGCTACCAACGAAGACGCCCATTTGATCTGGTGATATCAGAGTTGGCCACTCTGACGTACCTGCTACATATGTTTGAACGGTTTTCAAGCTGTCCAATGCGGTGTTGTGCATTAAAGGTCTAATGAGCTGAAGAAAACTTGTTACAACACCTTCAAAAGAACGGACTTTTCACCTTGCGGTTTGTGCTTCTTTCTGTTCATCAAGTCAAGGGGGACTTCGTACTGATACTAGCTCTTGCGAGCAACAATCTAAGTGTGCGCGCATAACTATAAAAAGTAAAATTATATATATATATATATATCACGAAAGCCAGCCGATAGGCTAGGCTGAAGCTGGGTTGGGCGAAAGAAGTGAGTAATGGGGGTGTCGGGGGGCGGTTGCGCACGGTAACCCAGAGCCTGGTGGGGGAGAGCGAAGAAAAGAGGTGGCCAGGAGGCAGTGAAAATGAGTGGTTTTTGGGGTGTTGTGATGCAAGTGATGTAATTGACGGCGGGTAGTGCATCATTATTAGCGCCATGACGCGAAAAGTGGTTGGAACCCCTCCAGGAAAGGGAGATGTGCGTATCTGCTGGCCATTGAAATAGTGTTCGTAGGCGTGAAGGGGAGGTGTGTCTCTTAAGATTGTGTGATCTGTGAGGGCAGAAGAGGGAACAGAATGCTGTGGGGAAGGCGGATGACAGGCATAGTGCAGGAAGGCGGGTAGGAAAAGAGGGTTTGCAAGAAATCTTGGAGTTGCTTGGGAATGCCCTTTTCTGAAGATGCCTGTCAAACATACGCAAAAGGGCACACCATATGGGGTGCGAGTTCATGTACTGTAATGATGCGAAAAACAGGAGAGGGAACAGAATGCAGCTGGCAAGCTTTGATTTGCTTGGGGGTGCCCTTTTCAACGGTGAAGAGGCCTAATAGCCAGACTCAAAAGGGGACCCCATACGGGGTGGGAGTTCATGTGGATGAGACAGGCATAGCGGAGGAGGACGTGATAGGGAAAGAGGGATTGCAAGCAACGAGTGGCCCATTGAGAACAGGGAGGGAACAGAGTGCAGCAGGCAAGCTTTGAGTTGCTTGGGGGTGTGATTGAAGAGGCCTGTTGACCAGACGCAAAAGGGCACCCCATATGGAGTGGGAGTTCATGTGCAGGATGGTGGCAGGCAAAGCGGGGGAGGATGTGATAGGAAAAGAGGTGGGGAGCTCACCAGGGATCTCGCACTCACCCCCCATGACCATATTGATATCTCGTCCCCTCCCTTCTCAGGTAAGTAAAAAAGGAATGTATGTATAGCATATATTAAAAAATATATATAATATAAATATATACATGAGAGAATGCCTGCGCACAGAGGTGTAGAAAGTCTGACCCGATTCATACTGGTACGCTCATATGCTGGCATCAGGAGGACAAATTGTCAGGATGTCACGCCGACGTATTGTCATACTGACTGACGGCTTGAAAGCCGGGACTGGAAGAGGCTTCTTGCTCTTTGCTTGTTGCGGTGTTGTCACGCTTGCACACGTATGGGCACATGTGCTACACGGACGCAATTGATGTGTTCGCATGGCACATGGCACATGGAAAAGGCTCAAACCTTTGAAAGAAGCAAGCACGCACCACTTCTTGATGACCTTGCATACAACGGGGAGACTTTTGTTGCTTATCAACTGTTTGTTACTTTTAACACATTCGGGTCGTGCCGTGATGGGGCCCTGGCCCAGATTTGATGGCGGCTTAAAATTGGGTTGTGTTTTGAACATATGACATACATTTTGGTATCTATACACATTGTTTGGGCAAAATTCTCTGGATACCGTACCAGTCATGTTCTTTGGTTCAGATTGATCTCTGAGACAATCATATTTTTTCGTTCATGGGTAACAAACAAACCAAACATCATCCAGTTTTTCTATTTGCAGTCAACCTTCCTTTGGAAACATGTAGGGAGGCGTGAACATGCGTGGCCTCCAAGTAGCAGCAGAATAGTTTTTCCTTATTCTGCCACGCTTTTTCATTAATTTTTGATCTACCATCACCAAGCAGGCTTTGGCAGCACCGAGCACCAGGAAAAGGTGGAGAGGCACTGGGAAAGCCGGAAGCAAAGGTTGTGAGTTGTGAACCAAGAATGATTGTGGTAGAGCTGGACCTTTGACGTGATGGCGGCAGTATCCTAGCTACAAGGGAAACACCTTGTTTGGCGACCAGAATTCTGCGTGTCTACTCTACCTGTGCTAGGCAACTGTGTACTTGGAGTTCTTCTTTGATGGCTCGCCCGAGGAGATCCAAGATCAGGAGGAGGCTGATAGAGAACAGACAATGCTCACTAGGATATTACAGATCGTTTGGAAACCTGTATACAGTCACAACTCTTTGAGATATACCGATTCTTGGAGTTCAGGCTCAAGGCAAAAGCAGCCAAAGGTGACTATATGTCAATATACATCACTGGCCATGGCTACTACACAGTAGCTCATCGCCACTAGCAGGTGATAACGATGTTCAAACATCTACAAAATCAAAAGATACTTTTGCACATACCGCCTGTCCTAGCGCTTTGTCATGGAGCCACAATTGCAAATGTATGCAGTTGCAGTTTTCTATTTTTCTTGAACCAGGGATTTATTCTCTCGTTCATTTGTTGTCTTCACATTTTCTGGTACTGAGGAACAGCCAAGGACCGTGGAGCAAATCATTTCAAGGAAGTATTGGTAATAGAAATAAATCTATTGTATCATGTTATAACATGCATGGTGGCTTTTTGGTGGTTTCTATACCAAACCAGTTTTTTTTTTTGGTGATTTCTTCTGTTTTGTCTGTTTCACTGTGTGTCACTTGCCCCTTGTCCTCCGCAGTCTGGGGCCTGGAATCCAACCATATGGCAAATCGTGCCTTGTCGTTCAGTCTCAAGAGCCTCTGCACATGTTGTTTCCAATTCTAATGTATATAAATATACAATGCACTTTGATACACCAGGCCATTGAAGCGCAAGTTGACAGAGATTCCGGACACGGAATGTCCGGTCACATTGCGTGTGCAGTTTCTCCTCATTGGCGAGGTGCAGCATAGACCGCTCAGTTTGCCAATGACTCACGCAACTCACTGGTAACAAAACCGTTTGCCATTCATTCCTTTTCCACTCTCTCTCTCTCTCTATAGACTTCAACTGACATTCCAGGCTTCTCGAGATTTTGCATCGATGGTTGCATCTCGGCTGCATGCCTACGCTCCCAGGATGGGACACTCAAACTTGGGTCACACATGTTTGGCCTGACGTTTGCAGTCTAGAGTCTAGAGTTTACGGTAAGTTCTTCAAGTGGCTTTGCTTGCTGATCCTCTTTGTTGTGGTATGTTGTGTGTTGGTTTTGGCATGCTCAACGCAGGTGAATTCTGAAATGGCTGAGAATTATCATGGGCAAAGGAGGATGAGTATGGCAAGCCTTCCCGATCAGCACTCTTCTGCTGGTTCAGAGCTCCAGGACAGACCAAACTGGCAGTTCTTCCAACATCGAATCAAAGCGCATGTGCCCTATTTGGATGTCAACTTTGAGCAACGCCTGTCCTTAAGGATGCAAACAGATATTTGCTTTTTTGCCCGCGCATCGACAGAGACGAAGGGTCCTGTGGCTGCAATGAGGATTGCTGAAACCACAGTCTTGGTGCCCCAGCAATTGTATCAACATAGTAACTATTTTGACACACCTCCACCGCTACCCATCCTAGAGCAACCGGCACTTTTTGTTTCTTCCCAGGTTTAAGAGCTTCGGTGTGGTGTTTGACCGGCCGCCAATAGGCCAAGATATCACTCTTTGATCGTAGTCTCATAGTGCAAACCTTCCTTCTGCTCTTCACAATCCAAACTTGAACAACTTCCTTGGACCAGCCCACCTTTGCATTCGCTCGCTTGCGCACCAACTCGCCGCCAGCTTCGAACAATTCAAGGTGCTAAATGTCCGAGTGAGTCGTCCGACTGTTCTTTTGGGGGACACTGCTTCATGCCATCAGGACAAAAACAGTCATCATCCTTCTGCCATCCACCGTAGTGTTTGGGTAGCCACGCAACCCCTAGGTCTTCTAGGGCCCTTTTTGTCACATCGACACTTCCTCACTTCCCCGCTTTGTTCTGCAATTGCTCGCATCAGTGTGTGCCGCTGCAGCTTGTTTTCTCTCCGAGCTACCACCTTTGCATTGCAAGCCATTCCTTCACAGAGAGGACAGGCGGCCACCAGTCGGCCTCACTAGCCATGAACGCAAAAAACGTGTCTCAAGTAGCCTTAGGGCATGGAGAACTTAACGCAGTAATGAATGGAGGGATTTATTTTTCTTCAATGGGAGTCACGAACGGCGTGCATCATGCCCATAAACCATTTTCCTCTAGATTTATGTCAGTCTGTGGGGTTCTAGTCGAGTCGGCCTCCCCGCCTTCTCCCCATCCAACGATGTTTCTCCAAGTCCGCCCCTAGCTTACTACCTGTCGTGTTCTGAGTGAATACAACACACACACAGACAACACCATACATACAAATGTATCAAAAGTACAAATAAATATACATACACAGAGTTTTGCACAGCTCCCAAGAGAGCAAGACAACTGACGTTGAATGCAGCACCTTTGCTGCCCCGCCTTGTGCACATGAATGTACAATGTCACTTGAAAGTGCCAAAACTGAGCTCTGGCTGTGCGCGTGAGGGGCATTAACCATTTTTTGGGTCAATTGTGAATTGACTAAGCAACATTTCAATGTTGTTCTGATTTCTTGCGGAGTATTTGGACCATCCCTCATGTACAGTGGAGTGCTTTGTTCAGAAGAACCGGGTTCATGCAAAACAGCCCGCATTCTCCAGCTCGCAAAACCTGAATGCTACTTCACCAGCGGACACCATGCGCACACTATGCATGTTCGCATATTCATTTAACGCGGCGGATGGCGGATCTCTGCAAGAGCTTGAGAAAGACGAAGAATATGCACTGTGCCATACAGGATTTGCATAGATGCCGTGTGGAACCGCAAAAAGCCACGTTGCCATGTGAGTGTCGCACCTTTGCTCGGACATTGGTACATCCCTGCCTCCTTAATTAAGTAGGCGCCCGAGCTTCTAGTAGCTGGACGCAGGATAGCGCTCACACTGATGATTTGGTTCCTAGTATTTTAGGGACATTTACATAGCTTGTTAAACCTTTTGTCTCAAGCCAAAGTGACGCACATGTGACCGAGTGTGAGTGCCAGTGCCGGAGCAAAAGTGCACAACAGGGTGCACGTGTATTTGCGAAACAGGGCGACTGAGAGCGTGTTATGGGCGAGCCTCAGTAAATTAAGGAACCGTAGGAACAGCAACGTGCACCTGAAACTATATACTGTACATACACACACACATATATATATATATAAGAGTATACACAGCATACAACCACCCTAGAAGTCCAAAGGCTACACAGTACTTTTCCTATTAAGTGAAGTAAAGAAAGCTCTCTTTCTTGTCTCTTAGAGACTATTCTTTGAATTTGACTTCCAGGGTACAAGTAACGACCTTGACCTAGCTCGAAGAAACGTGTTTGGCAACCTGAGGACAGAGCTAGCACGCATTGAGCTCACACCAGTTGCTTGCCCAAAAGAAGCCATGCGTTGTGCGCTTGAGCTTACTATCCCACATTCTACGTGAAGATCTTGGAAGCCTGCAAGGTGGTAGGCTTTGGAGACTCTTTGCCTTTGTCCCGCCAGCACCGAACGCAGCATCATGGTGAGTTGCAGTCGCACAAGCATGCAAATTGCACCAACAGGACTTCATTGAGTAAAGTATATTGCATACAATCATGCGCTCGCTTTGCCGCTCAAGGCAGAACGAGAACATTCACCTTATTTTCCTTCTTTACCAGGATAGTGGACCTCGAAGGAACATGTCTGATACCTGGCCGCAATGAGACCTCATGAGCCATGACGCCCAAAGACACTGGGGCTGTTTGGGCCTTTCCAACTAGTCCAACATGCCAACAGATTCAGAAAACAGAGCCAGATTGATATTTCTTGAATCAAGACTAGGCTATGTGCTGCATGTCCATACAGGAGGTTGAGATCACAGGTACGATAAGGAATCCATAAATGGAAGCTGCTTGTTTACACCTGTGGGGTGCACTTTGTGGCGAGTTGGGAATCATATCGAACTCAGGACCTCTCCACTGAGTGGATCAGGAGGCAACGGCCTTACCTCAGATTGTTCTGTTTCGCCCTACGGGCCCTACGAGTGATGCAGGCTAGCAGAAGTTCGTCAGTGCCTGAGAGCAGTTCCACGTGGAAGCTTGGCTTAGCAGACCAAAGCCAAGGATTTTTGCCAAAGATTGCACGTCCTGCTTTGACGCTGCTGATGGTGAGTGCAGATGATGAACAGATGCATCTCAGTTGCAAACAAGAACATGTTGTTTTTGCAAGAAGACGCACCGGGTGTTGTAGTAACAGTGTCAGGCTCGATTCATTTTTGTCTTACCAAGGAGATTTGCAGAGGAAATCATGGTGCCTTGAGCTTGCTTTGACAATACATTCGTGTAGGAAAGCTCGGCTCTGCTTATTAGCCTACCCAACAAATGCCCCACGCTGGGGTGTTCAGGGTGAATCTTGAAAGAGCCTTGGCCTAGGAAAAGCAAAAGGACATGGATGATCCTTTGACAGTTTCGACAAAGTTGGTCGAAACTCCGAGCGAGGAGAATCGGACAATATACAGAAGACATCTCTCATTCAGGGTAAGAGAACTCAGGCAACAAGATTTTTCAGTGTTAGCAACTTGAGCTTTGTGGAATTGTTCATTTGCTTCATGAAAAAGCACCCGCCATGGATTTGCCCTGTGATTTCGCTGCAATGCCGTTTTGGGCGCGTCAACCCATTCCAAAGAGTAAAGATGCTGAAAGCACATTGTGGCTATCTGGTGGGCGCAGGATGATTTGATCAGCTCTCTTCAATTGGTATGCAAGGACTGTGGTAAGATTGCTTTTGACAAGCATTGAACATCAATGGAACATTTGAAATGAATGTCCAATCACTGGGATGGCAGGACACCGTGCTGTGGAAACCACATGCCCGTTACACAATGCAGGTGGAGGTGCAGTTCCTATATTGAGCTAGAATCAGACAACTCAGGACAACTTGATTATAAGAAGCATAAGACCTTTACTTACCTCCAAGACAGACTTTGCCAGGCAAAGGGCGGCTGTTGCATCCTCATGTATTTTGAGCACAATTTAGTTCTTTTTTGTATTCCCTGCCGAATCCTTCCAGAATGGGCTTTTTGCACTGTTTGCCAAATTCGTTTGCCAAATTCGGCTCGGGGTTGTTGCAGAAGCAAATTTAGTTGGTCATGGCAATTGACACGGAATCAGAGAGACGCAGATATATATATATATATAGAGAGCGCACGTGACCTGGCGCTAAGGTGAATGAAGTGCGTTGAAGGGGACTATGTCTACGTTGAACCAGCCCCGCCTAACTTTGTCAATTCAATGTAGCAAAGCTGCACTTGTTTCCGAGGATTTCTGCTGCGAGAATTTGCTAGTCGCCCAAACTCGCGGACCAATTCTCTCAGGAGAATAAGATCAGCTAGAAGTTGCTCAAACAAGTTCAGCATTGGCATTTGCAAGTCTGCCAAGAAGCGTGCGCGGCATGTCTGCCACATGATGAGGCAAACGGAAACCCAGAAGGTCAAAAGAGAGTTAAAAGTGTTGAGCCCTTTATCAATCTGGTTTCTGACCTTGTCATTGCTTTCTGGCTTGAAAGACGTAGAGACAAGAGTTCTGGCGATGAGACTTTGTCACTTTTCCTTTGAATGGCTGCTTACCCTGCCACAGATTTATTCTTAGCCAGTATCTTAAACTTCTTAACATGATCGCTGGGGACATGAAAAAGAGAGACAGCTTTTGCCTCCCTCGCAGAACGCTAGAGCCTTCAAAAAGTGAAGACTTTCACGTGCTTTCACTATGGTTCGACTTGATTCCTGCCACAAACTTCTCCAAGAGAAGCCAAGTGGCTCAACTTGAGTCGTGTTCGGAGAAAATTGGGGGATGCTCTGGCTTGCAACAAGAGCGATGCTGCTCAGCGCCACTTCAATTTTTCCAGTGTCACTTCAACAGTAAGGTGCCCTTAGACTCTTGGACTTTTCAATCCTTGAAGGTCTTCAAGCAAGCCTTCGAACACATGATTGAAGAGCAGTTGCAGGCAGGGCTTACGGACCTGGCAATGTTGTTTCCTTTCAGCATGTTACTATGCATTCCGTCCAGAGGAGCAGCGCGTGACGCAATTTCGTCAAAAGTTGGCAGCTCGCCGTCGAAGAGGGCAGGCAACCTTCGCGATTGTTTGCAGGAATTGAAAGATTTGAAGCTTAAGTTTAGGAGTACCCATGCATCGGCAGACTCGCAGAATGCTAAAACAGCAGGAGAATAACGGTGAGTAGTTAAGTTTCCCTAAAAATCTAGGAACCAAATGAATAGTGCGATTGCTTCTTCAAGGAAGCTTCCCCACCCTCAGGCGGGGGGAGCTTCCTTGAAGAAGCGTGAGCTATCCTGCGTCCATGCTAGTAGCTACTTAAGCTACTAGCTACCTAGCTTCTACTAGCTACCTACCTAGCTAACCTACCTCTACACGGCCTACCCCCTCCGGTCTTAAAGAAAAAAGGAACGAAGAGTTTCTTAACCACATACCATTCCAAGTTTCAGAAGCCAGGGCAGCACAGAAGCTGGTGACGAAGAGTGGATCTGGCCTTGGAATCACGAGCGTGTTGAGGAGGTTGGACGCGAGTAATGCCCAGAAAATACTTTTCGTTTGACATTTGGTTGCTGTCATAGCCCTTTGTGAAACGATTTGCCTTGTGCCCTGGACATCCACACATGTCACCATTCCATGACCGTACCGGCCCAAACTTAGTGGCCACTTGAGTCTGCCTTGGAAAAGGCCTTCGTTGCCGTGCGCCATAGGCACTGCGTTTCCGCTGTTCATCAGTGGTAGCGGAGCCCGGGTGACGACCTGGGCTCTGCTGGAGCGGTGGAGAAGATCGTGACGGGGGACGCCCCGGCCACCCTTCTTCGACTTCATTATCCTCGCTCTTGAGGAGATCTTCGGCACCCTCCAGCAGGGACTTCTTGCAAGCCACTGACGTGGCGAAGTTGGACGGCCATCCTGGCCGGATTTTCCAGTGGGCTCGAATCGAGCTTTTGTTTACGACTTTGCTAGCCGGCGCCGGGACTTCGTTCGAACTATTTGATTGAGGGCCCAGGCGACATCTTTGCCATCAGCCTGACCTTTGTGAAGTACCAGTTCACTGGGAAGTATGTCAGCTGACAGGCCGCACCGCTTCTGGAGAGGCGGAGTTGGAGCAACTTCATCATCGACCCCTTCGATGGCGGCCCGCCGAAATCCCCGATGGCAAGTCCGCCGCGACCACCGAGGTCCCCTATGGCGAGTCCGCCACGACCTGAAGTCCATCGACTTTCTCAGGTACCTGACCCCGTCGATTCGGGACTTTATGAAGAACCTGATCCTTGGGCTGCAGCTGCCACGGCCATCCGGCCTCCGACACCGGCCGGAAGCCAATCAGGTGCTCGCGAGAAAAAGTATGTGGACTACAAGGTGGACCCCGCTCCATCTTGGGGCGGTGACATGCCAGAGAAGAACTATAAAGAGTACATCCGGAACCTTCAACTCTGGCTGGTTGAGGCAGAGGCTCGACTGCCTCACAACTTGATTGGAAAGCGGATCATCGACAGCATTCCGCTTGGCTCGAAGCTCAGCTCCCTTCTGGCCCATTTGACTGTCGACGACATCTGCTCGGAGAATGGCCATAAGGTCATACTTGGCATCATCGAGGACGCCCATGAGTATTTGAAGGATTTGCGCCTCGAGACTGCCTTCGATGACGCGATCTTCAAGGGAAGACGTGAGCGAGGCCAAACGCTCACAAGCTTCTTGACCACCAAGAAGGCGGCCTTCGCGGATTTGAAGAAGCAAGGACTGGACCTGTTGGCTACCAGTCCGGGGCGGCATTTGTTGGGTCACCTCATTTTGAGGCAAGGCTCATTCACCCAAGATCAACGCCAGAGGTTGAAAGTGGTCACCGACGGCAGCATCGATTACAAGGACATTGAAATGGCCATCCAGAAGGTCTTCGGTGACAAGCTGGACGAGAGCCATGGACACCATGAAGCTGTCGGTACTCCCCGGAGGTGGCGCAGTGCTACCTACTCCCAAACAGGAAAGTCGTTGCGAATTCATGATTTTGAGCCTGTACCATTGTGATTTGTTATTTTCAAAAGTCGTTGCGAACTCTGTGCTGCTTGTGTTTCGAGTTTAAAGGAAACCATAGCAATGATATTGAATTATATAATGACCTGATGCAGCACTTTGGTGTCTAATGTCTCTGTGCCTTTCGGAATTGAACACCGTGCTGTACATTGGGTTTACCCCCATCATGAGGCCTATCATGTGGAAGATCTGACCAAAAACCGGTGTGCCATTGGTGAAAGCTATGCATCAAGATGCTTCTATAGGCAACCCATGCTCTTCTGTTACATGGGGAAAGTCACTTGCGATTGTGGGTCCACTGTTTTCAAAAGGTGGTTGCTCCATTGGGGCTGGAACCATGGTTTTGTTTGGATTGACATATGCAGTGCTTGGCCTTTTCTTTGGCCCAAGATTTGTGGCCACAGCTCCGTTGATTGCTTCACAATGGAGACGCCGCAGAGGAAGAGAACACGGGAAGCATCACCAGAGTCAGTGGCCAAGGATTTGGCCTGAAGGTTTCCAGGGCTTTCTCGGCATCGCGTGTCAACTTGTCCCATCTAACCATTGTCAGAGGAAGCTCTGCCCTTTAATGGGGTTATTGCTTGGGTCTCTTCCATTACCAGAGGCAGCTGGTGAAAGATGATCTCTATGTGTTGCATGACCAGGCACTATAGTTCTAATATATATATATATTATATATATATATATATTTTGTTGTATTTATTTATGTATCGTTCTTAGTGGTCATAAGAAGTTTTTTGTGGCAAGCCCTGATCACACCCACCATGGTATCGGGAGTCGAGACTCGACACTGTACTCGTAGTTCGTTTCTTCCTTGTGTCTTCTTTGTTTGCTTTTGTTGGTGTACCTGTCATGTTGTTGGTGCTGACGCTGCTTCTTTGCGAGTTCGCTTTCACTGGGTTCTGTTTTTGTTCGTGTTTTTCGCTTCACTTCTTCCCTCAAGCTACACGCCTCCAGGAGCTTCAAGCTGTACGACAACAGCCCGTAGAACCTCCAGATGCTTGGCCCGGTGTGCTGGTGTTGTGGCTGGTGCTGTTGTTGCTGTTGTTGTTCCTTTGCTTTCGCTCGCCGTTTTTAGGAGAGGGGGCTAGTGACTAGTGTCATGAGACAAAGACACCCTGAGAACATCCATGGAAGGAGCCTAAGGTTTTTTCCAACACGCTGTCCAGAAATTAGGGGCACTGTTCAATAGAAACTTGATATGTACAGGAAGCAGTCAACTTTCCCCAATCTACGGCCAAAAGCCTTGATAGGCACAATCAATTTTTGTCACCAGCAGTGAGCGATTCCCCCCAGGAAATTTCATTGGCCAAGCTGGCGAAGCGTTTGCGGGAGCAGCATGCTCAAGCCTTCTCGCAACTTTCGCGCTTGCAGTTGAAGGAGCAGGCGATTGACCCAGCGACACGATCCTATGATCCAGGAGTTCCTGACGCCATTGGTTCCTGCTTGATTTGTGGCGCAAAGCGCCATGAGGTGAGATGGGAATACTTTCGCACCCCTGGCGCGGACAAGCGCTTGACTAGGGGTGGAACATGTTTTTGCTGTGTGCAGTCGTGCCGGCTTCTGCAATGCAGCCGGTCTCCTTGCTTGGTTCGTGAGTCTGGAGCGCTTGAAGCTGTGCTGTCTCTGTCTGCGCTGAAGCGTCAGAGGCTTGCAGCAGAGGATGTTTGTGAGTGTGACCTTTGTTTGAGTCAGGCTCAGTAGGGTTTAGCTTGGGATAGCCTGGGCTATATATTTGTAGATTCTGTGCAGAATCTAGGGGAACCAGAAAAACCTGAAGGCTTTACCTTTAGACGCTTGATGCGCTTGGAAAATTGTTTTTTCTCAGCAATCCAAGCAGCAAGCGTATGGGTTTCACTTGTTGTAGCCTGGCAGGCATGAGCTGGCTGTTCCTTGTTGAGTACACATGTGCGACATGTTTGTCTAGGAAGTCGGAACTTTGCGAGCAAGTTTCGTGAATTGTTCCAAAGAAGACTTGAGGGATTGCAGTTGCTTCTCGTTCCGACTGCAGCCTGATGGCTCCCCAAAAGTACAGTGAAGCTGTAATCGCCCGTTTTTCTCACTCCCGGTTGCTTGAGGCGTGCGAGGAATGGGGTCTTTCCTATGATACCAGCCTGCTGGTTTCAGAGAACCGCGCTCGCCTGGCACGTCGAATTGTAGACGGTGACGTCGTTTGTAAGAAGCAGGATCTCTCGGAAGTTTCAGGACGTTCAGGGTTGACCGAGGCTTTTGGTTAGCGCATGTGGGGAGATGTCTGCATGGCATGTTTAGGTGTAGGGTTCCTACCTCGTCCGCTACCTCGTCCGCTACATCGTCCGAAAACCCAGTGACTTCTCTCAAAGTTTACTGTTTTGTGGGTTGCTTGAGGAGCATGCGCAGCCAGCGAGGCTGATGCTTCTGCACCTTTGCCACCGCCTTCCACTCCTCCACCAGACTCGTTTCTCTGTAGCGGGTGCAACTTGGATATCCCCAACAGTGACCGCAGTTGCTTACCTAAATACTGCAAGCAATGCTTTGAACACGAGCTTGCTGAGCTGTTGAAGCCCCAGTCGAGCTCCAATGCAGA